CATCTTGTGTCAAAAAAAAACCCTGTATTGTTGGTTCATACTGACTACATAACTACACTCCTGCAGTAAAAGGACTCTGCCTACTGTCTTGCATTCCAAATGAATGCAAAGCGCTGCACCTGGTAGAAGATAAATGCAACACAGAGTGTATGCACTACCACGAGGGGACCTTTATATGACATTCACTGTYCCAGACAAAACTATCTCAACATTTTGTATGTCTGTGCATTTTAAATTCCTTTGATGTGCCACACTGTGAAGCCAAAACAATCATGCAAATCAAAGGGGGAAAAAATAAAGAAGCAAAAACCAAACTGATCAGATAGATGACGGCATGCAGATCCAAAACATGTGCTTGCTGAGAGAAAACAATCTGCTAAATCTATTTTTACACAGAGGTGGACCTGAGGGCGACACCTTCCTCCCTGTAGATTACAGAAATGGGAGAGTGGATCCCTCTGGACTCCCTTCTCTTCCTCTCTCTCTCTATCGGAACATCTCCCTCTTTCTCCCTCTCAGTTCCGCCCGGTGTTACTATGGCAACAAGAAATGGTGCGACACGGTGAGGACTACGGAGGAGAGGAGAGGAAGAGTGGGAGGGAAGTCCACCTGCAGTCCAACACCAGCCCTGAGGGACTTCAGAAGGTGAGACTAAAAGATAAGGGTTAAGTCCTACTTCCTTTTTTACTCTGACATATTTGTCCTTCAGCATAAACAGACTTGGCTTTCCTGTCCTATCCTTTCACTTCCATTCTCCAAGCTGTGTTAACYTCCCCTCCTTTATTTTGTTTTCTCTCTTAAAATCTCCCTTCCTTTCCTTTTTTTTCTCTTTCTTTTTTCTTTCAAAAATAAAAAATAAATAAAAAAAATCTCTCTTCCTTTCCATCTTTATCCCTCCAAATCTTGCCTTTGTATTTTGTATGCTTTGCTCCTCTTCTTCACATCCATCATGCCCTCATGCCCCCCTTCCACACCAATTAACTAGAAATGTCTTGGTAGGAGATATTCATAATTAATAAAGTCTGTACGACTTAGTAGCTACTTTGGACTACAAAATTTGCATTTTGTTGAAGAATTAAATAAAAAAAGAACAAGTTTTTTATTTACAAAATTAAATCAAACTAAAATGACATTTTAGAGACACAAGCTTTAATTGAAGGTTGTAAAAACGGGTTACTCTCTAAATAAAAAAAAATGTGCTGTTAGACGCAAAATCTTGCTGTAATTTTGACATTTTCTAGCCCTCACAGACTGCTTTTTTTTTCTTTTAAAAACCTGTTTTTAGGCACAATATATTGAGGACTGGAATGGTCGCCTTTCCACTTAAAGAGGATGACAGTAAGCTATCTGACTCTAATAAAATGAGTAAAGTGACCTCAATGACTATGCTCTCTCAAGTGTTTTAGAAACTGCTACAAGACCACTATTTTTATCTTTCTCCTGACAATAAGTATGTTCAACCAGATCTTTAGCTTGCCTGATACAATCATGTGTGACTCACTATGAGTGACATCAGCTCCTATAAGTCTAAAATGCAAGACAACTATTTCCTCTTTAATGAGTGATTTGAATAAAATATTACTGGTACAACAGTAAGGTGTGTTATAACTACTCTACCTGAAAATTAGTTTGTGTTTTCTTAACATCTGATCTTGGATTTCCTACCTTAATGTTATGAGACGTTTATGCAACTTTTGAGACATGAGGCAATACAGTCCACATTTCTGACTGTTTATGTTCCAAGTAAAAGTAGAGCTGTCACACTGATGAAACAATCTGACCCATATGGGGCCAGGGGTCCGACACTCCCACAAGACTGATAACGATGCTCATAAAAGCATTTATATTGGCTGTCAGAGTGTAAAGATTCCTATCTGGCACATATAGATGCACCATTCATGCGCATTCACAGCAGTGTGCACAGATACAGATACGGACGTACCACTACGATATTCATGCTACTCGATGACTGTGAACTGTGTGATCTCACTCTTGCTGATTCTGGCTCAGATTTAAGGTATTGGATGACAAGAAGAAATCTCACAGAGCAGATGTGATCAGATTGAGGGACATCCTCTAATGCCTTGTGTCGACACACACCTGGTCACGTTTTGACACATAACACAGGCGGCCTGCTTATCCAATCATTGCTGCAGCTCACATTCCCGTTAAAAGACAACATAACCCAATTACCAGCATCCTGTTTTTGACAAAGGCAATATCATGATGTTTCAGATAGGTATTATTACACTGAGACACAACCTACTGAAGGTCACACATTTATATCCTGTCCCACAACATATCTTGCCTCTTTATCCTTATGGCTTAAAAGATAGATTGACTGTCTAATATAGTGTTCAATAAAACCTCTCATCTATCAGTTATAGGGTTTATTATTTTAGGTTGAGTTGTATGTAAGGATCAGCCTTATTCCACCTACAGAAATTGATTCATTAAACAAGACTATCACTGCCTTGGCCTGTTGATACATTTACTGTCACATAATTAAACTGGTTTAGTGTGATGTACTCAGACATACACTGTATATCTTGATTTACCACAAGTGTAAAACTGACTGAATCAAAAAGCCTTAAGAATTTAAAATAAAAACACACACACACATTCATTGGAAAGCAGTCATATTCACACAGAGATATTTACATCAGCTGGTGATTGCCAATACAGTTTAGGTTGGATTATCTAGATTATGACATATCTTAGATTCCTGCAGATTTTTACAAGTGAGAAAAACCTGAAACTAGTTTCAACCTGAGCTTGACTGTTAATGTTCTTCTAAGCTTCTATAGGAAATAAAGAACTGGAGTGAAAATGTGATTAAAATACAAAAACAAAATACCAGAATTGTATGATAAACATTCAAAACCATAGAAATCCTACAAATGYCCTCTTCAGTGTTGCCTTTCTAAAGTGTAATAAAATGCAGTAATGAGCTAGCTGATTAGAATAAATGCACCGGAGAAGCTTTTTATGACTGATGCTGCCTCCGTGTAAACATAATAAAGAGCTTCGATAGAAAGATGGAAGTGGAGTGATGGAGGGGTGTTGTGGAGCAAGAACCATTCATTAACAGAATCCATTAGTGCATAAATGAACAGAGGAAATAAAACAAACGGGGCAGACTAATTACGATGTACAGAGTTGATACAACACATGTGGGTTTGCATGTTTGTCAAGTGTTTATGTGTAGATTAATATGCATCTACTGCAATGCAAGTTCCACAGGCTTTTAGAAGTCATAAACCAAACATTTCTGAGTGTTATCAAGCCTCTCTCAAGGTTGGCATGTTCTCCTTTAATTAACACACTGCCAAAGGGAGGMTCCACTGACAGCAATACATTCAAATTTGTTATCAATGTTCAGACAACAGTGCTGTCGGCCAGCAGTACTTGTTGCCACTTGCACCAGTAATAAATTAAACTGCAGGAAAATGCTCCCTCAACCCAGCAGATGTGCAGGATGAGGGACATTTTTTGAATTGTATTGAACCTGAGGCTCAGAGATGTAAACGGCTTCATTTGAGTTATTGTGAGAGCGAGGTCTCTTATTCAAAGTGGCAATTACCCATGATGCCTAGCGACCCCATAAGTAGGATCCCTAGCCTGACCTCCTTCACTTTTCATCGCCACGTGTGATTGTCATCAAAGTTTTAAAAAAACGGAGGGTCTCAGCAAACCCCTAAATCTAACTCAAAAAAGTGGTGGGTGTTCTCTGAGCCTCAGGCTCACTACAATTCAAATAATGTCCCTCATCCTGCACATCTGCTGGGATGAGGGAGCATTATTTTTCATTTACGTTCACCTTCGTCTCAGAGATGTAAACAGCAGGTTCAAAGCTGATGACAATCCCACTGCTTGTGTGGACTATTCCACAGGATTCAACCACATAACCTCAATGGAGATGCATTCCAACAAAATTTATTTTAARAAAGAAAAATTCCGATCATCTGAAATGACAACTCAAAATTCTGTCCGAGAACTTAGTCCCTTCCCTGGACTCTCGGTAGTAAAACTTTTTAAACGTATTAGCTGAAGTCCAATCTGCGGTCCGCAAAATCTGTTTCAGTGAAACGCCACTGTTAAATGCTGCTGAAACAGAAGCTCCTCGGTAAGAGTGGGGTTTAAAARCAGTCACATCAATTCCTGCATTAATGAGCACTGTCCATAGCCATCTGGCTATAGTGCATGTAAACACCGCAGAAAAAGTCTTGTACGAAATTAACAATCTACTTGACATCCTCAGTTCCTGAGTGCGACAAATATATTCAAACAATGTTCCAATACACAAATTTTTGGTTTAGAGTATCTCTCCAGAAGAATCTCCTGAATCCGTTTGCCCAACTTACTTGTTTTAGTGAGTTCATAATTTTAAAAAAATCACTTTAGAGTGATTGTCTTCTACTTGCAGATAACTTAAATCTAACGCCACCAGTGTCTGAGCTCTCGCTGTTGTGACCAACGCCAGCAATGCTGTAAGCTTCAATATCAAATCTTTCAAACTTAAACTTCGATGAGGAAACATCCATCCATCCATTTTCTTCCGCCTATCCGGGGTTGGGTCGCGGGGGCAGCAGCTTCAGAAGGGAGGCCCAGAC